GCTGCCCATTTGAGTTTTAGCATTGAAACTATGGAACTCCCGCGAGTTTGGCAAGCATTGGTTAACAAACTGAAATTGTGCAGCTGCGGGATTCCTCTTACCGCTATTCCATTATATTAGAAACGATTCTGTCAGCGATTCACTGTCCCACGAGGTGGCAAGGTAAGCACATTAATTTGAGATATCAATAATCTGATAAGGATTGAACAGGTGAGTAGCTATCACAAAAAAATTTAAAAATTACAGTTTGCATATTCACTTGCATTTTTTAATTCCAGCTAATAGGGCATGTGGGCGAGGGCGTCAGACCAACTGGATTACCCGGAGAAGATCAGCCTTACGATTCTACCTAACCTAACTTAAGGGGCTGTGCTAGTTTGACACTTTCAAATTTTTTTTTTTTTTGCTTTTTCGATAGATTATATTTCCAAAAATATTCTGTGAAATCGTCGTATCTTGAATAGTTTTTAGATGGCAGCGTTCTAAAGAGCGACCGCTACTCATATTTTCTTTTAAAAAATTCACGAAAATCGCCTAATTTTTCATGTGTTACAATGGTATAGCCCCTTAAGTTCGAAAAATATTGGGTAACTGAGAGAGAAGAAGTTTTGGACAGATTCATCTAGATTTAACATTAAACTAAGGCATACTTAAGAAAATATTTCCACGTAATTTAAGATGAGAAGTCACATCTTGACTAAATTCAATTTATCTGGCCCAACAAAAAAAATTGTTAAGCTTCAGTAAACTTTTTCCGACAACTGTTCAAAAGTTTCATTCTTTTACATATATTATTATACTCTTAGAGGAAGAAATTACAGAAAAAAAAGCAGGTTTTCCGGTTAGGTTAGGTTAGGGGAACAAAATTACAAACACATTTTTAGAAAATAAAAATTGTATTGCCTTCCTTGATCACGACTAGAAACAGGATTACTAAATAATTACGTAGGTTTCGACAGTATTTCCTCAATGATTTCTATTTACACCATTAAAAATGCTATTTATTGAAAATATTAAAAAATCATAGATTAATCGTAATCTATTAAAAAAAAAACAACTGAACTGAGTAAGGAAGGGAAAAGTTTGAGTACAACCGAAAATTTTATACTTTTTCTCTATCGGATTTTCGAAAGTTCTATTATTAGTTATATAGCGGGTTTACCCCGATTTTTTTCATTGTCAATTAATGAAACACGCTCTCTCACTTTCATTGTGATAACTCACATATTGGGCGATATGTCCAGTATAAATCTTTATATTAGGTATATGGGGCCTAAGGAAAGTATAAACTGTATTCAGCCCATGTATTTGATATTCAGACATGTTATTATCAGGAAAAGATTTTCTTCGAATTTCGTTTACATATCTTAAACATTTACCGATATTTTCGGTAAAGGCTACACAACGAGAATAAAAGTACGGTACTGTTATCAACAGCAATCGTCTCCATCGAACACCGAGGAGAACTATAGCTGCCAACAAAACTAGCCAATTTTGAAATAACGGGAATGGGCGGTAGAGTGACCCATTATCATACGATTTTTAATGAATTATGTTCCACCAGTCCATCACGCGACTTCAAATTCAAAACAGTAAACTTTGGCCTTCGTTCCAAAAAAAACAAAACAAGTAGTTTAAGCTTCTCCGACCCTGTCATATTACAACCTTGTAGTGATGATATTCTGTTAAATCATTTTTATAAAGAGGGAAAGAAATAAGTGATAAAAGCGAAATTTCTAGGGTTTATATCATCATCTGCAAATTTTGGATAAGAAATCATTGATATTCTGACTTTGGGGAGCAATTACCCCATGCATCTCGCATTTGCATTTGTCGTACGACGGGCAGGATACAGGTCGCAATTTCTATCGGAAACAAAAAATTCAAAGAGACCCATATTTGTTAATAACTTATCTTCTAGTTAAACGTGGTTTTTAACCAAAAAAAAATGTACTATATGTTTTATTAGTTTTTTTTTTAGTTCAAATAGAAGATTATTTTATCCCAAAGATAATAAACGTTGCCCTAATTCCAAACGACGAGAAAAATTTCGCTTTCTGCCCATATAGACGCTCGGTCACTATTTTTTTTTTTTTTTATTTTTTTTTTTTGTTGGCATATTCTTAGATAACTTTTAAAGAGATTTAAGCAAACAAAAAATTGATTTTTTGAAGCTTCTAAAGCAGGGTCCCCTTTGATCCAAGTGTTATATGCGGACAACAAAATATAGTAATTTAAATTTTTTTTTTTAAGTAATTTATAAATTCTTGGCATCACTTATTAAAAAAATACTACCTTCAAATTTATTCATACGACTCATGAAAATAAATATTATAACGCAAATAATTTCTAATAATAGAAATTCTAAATGTAATATTTACACATTTTCAACAAGTTTTCAATATTTTTTACTTCAATTTACATAATTCTACCGAAAAGGACAACCATTTTTTTAATTGCTTTGCCATTATTCACAAACCGTACGATGCCGTCATTTTATTAAAATCATGCCACCACCACCACCAGCACCACCATTTTCTTGGTTTTCCCTTTTTCTTTCGTAATGACTCACGACTGCTTTCGTCGACACGATTGCATGCAAGTATGTAAACCCGTTAATGAATGTCGAATGGCTATGTTGCCGAGGAGACGGCACATTGCGTAAGGTACCTACACATGTTCATACACACATATGTATACATTCGAGTATAGCTCACAAATGTACACTGCTTTCATAAGCGAACCGCCCTCAAACAAAAAAAAAAAGTAATGAACAAGAGAGCCTTCATATGCTTTGTTGGCATTGAAAAACTGAGAGAGATGCTAATACTTAGCGCAGGTGTGGCTTAGTGTTACAAAGAGAAATAGTTAGTTACTACTTTTATGCTCTTCTATCTGATTTGCTTATGCTCTCTCTTTACGAAAATTAGGCGAAAATATTCGCTCTATTTTATTCACCAAAAACAAGGCAGGTTATAGGCAATGTGGTAGAAAACACTTTACAGATTCTGACAAGTGGTGAGTTTTCGCAGATTTGTTGCGAATGGAGCGAAGAGGATAGTGTGAAAAAAGTAAATCATTAACGAATCTATTGAAAACAAATGGAATGTTTATTTACTAATAACATGCAAATTAAAGAATGTTGAAAAAAAGAAGAACTAATTAAGTTCATATGAAGCAGTGATTAACAAAATTAACCTGGCACTAACAGTAACTTGCAAAATTACACATATCAAAAAATTAAATAATTTACTTATGAGGTTAGGTCTTATTGTTTGAAAAATATTATTCAAACGGGAGAATAGTGGTAAAAGTTGGTTTTGTCAAAATCACTGTAGTTTCAAAGCGTTTAGATGAGCTGCATCATTAGGATTTCCTTGTATCTACCAATGTAGCATAGGACCACAAGATCAGTTACATAGGTAAAGCAGATAAAACTTTAAACTCTAGTGTGGCTGCCAAAAAATGGTGATCTTTTTGGGAATTAATTTTTTTTTTTTAAATACAAAACTCTTCCGAAAAAATATTAATATTTGATTAGTTATATGCGATCTTCGGAGGTTCTAAAAAAGGCTGCTCTATTGCTGTTTTCCGGCTTTCTCCGTGGAGGATGGATCTAAACGATCAAAATTGTCAAAATGGCAACTTAAAGAAAAACATAAATTTTTCCAAAATTTTGGTCGTTTAGTAGGTCAGTGTATAGACACACATGAACTTGTCTCCGTGTTATCACTCATTTAAAAAATGTAGTTTTGAAAACTAAACCCGTCTCAAGATAAACTGATGGAACCGATTGATCTGGGCATTTTAGGTTAGTAAGTTGAAAGATTAATGTGAAACTAAATATAAATATATGAACTATGCTAGCAAGCCCAATGAAAATTAAGACCCTAAAAGCTCTTCTGAAAAATTTTGTTTTCGAAGATTAGCCCAGGAGTCGCAACTTCGCAATTTTCAGGAACTAACGGCTAATACAGTAGATATACTTTTTTTCAATATTGCAGCCGTAGCTCAGAATGTACACGAAGACCGTGGAGAGTCGTTTCGGCGCCATTTGCAGCAACTCGAACTGACGTATGGAACGACTTGCCGCATTTTACGTCCAGATCTTAGGTTGAAAGTATATAAAATACAGCTTGTGCAGTAACTGAAGCCGCTCGAACTTCCAAGAAGATCCGAATTTTCGAGCCAAATTTTGTTCCGTGATAAGGCCCATTTCTTGCTCTAAATTGCCGAATTTAGGACGAGCAACCTAAAAAGGTTCAAGAGTTGCCGCTTCATTCATTCATTCAATAAAAAAAAAAAAATTTATTGTGGTTTGTTGGCGGTGGAACAATCGGTCCATATTTCTTCAAAATTGATGCCGTTGAGAACGTAACAGTCAATAATCGACTATTTTATGAATGAAATTGAAACTCGTGATCTCGGTGACATTTCGTTTCAAGAAAACGGCGCCACTTCTCACACATCGCATCAATCAATGGTTTTAGAAAACATTTCGCTGTGAAGTAATTTCAGGTTTTGGGCCGGTGGATTGGCCACTAAGATCGTGTGATACACCGTTAGACTTTCTCCTTTGGGGACATGTGAAGTCTAAAGTCTATGCGAACAATCCCGCTCCGTTTCAGGCCTTGGAGCAAAACATCATGCGTGTCATTCGCCAGTTATCAGTCGAAAAGCTCGAACGATGATCTTCAAAAACAAATGCTAAAATGATAATAAACATTTCTCATTAAATTTGAAATTTTGTGTTTTTTCTTTAAAAAGGTAAGGAACCTTGAAATGGATCCTTTTTTTTACCAAAAATTTCAAATGTAAACATAAATCAAATATTTTCATTAAAATACATTCATAAAAAAAAACACTTGAAAATTTTAAGAGTCACTGTAAGCGCTTTGCAAATAGTTCTATATCTTATCAGCGAAAACGATTTGTGCATTGTTGCCGTCACGAGCATATAATAAAGACTCTCCGATTTGCTAGTTGGCATTTCATTTTTGTTTTGATCGTCTATTGTGCGGTTGGCCGTTAGAAAGACATTGTTCACAAGTGTTTGGGGCGCAACGCCGAATGTGTTTAAAGCTAGCTTACAACATAGAGAAGCAATTATAGAGAAGTGTAAATAAATTTTTATGTTAAGTAGTAAATTAATTCTCAGCTAACGGACAACTATGTATATCTGTATAAACTATGTATTTTAAGAAGTGGAAATGTGCAATCAAGCAATAAAATATGCGAAAAGCGAAAACATGTTTGAACACTTTTGACATTGTTTACAATCAATGTGTCAAGTAGTGATGTGAGATACTTTGCAAACGACAAACTTCGTAAAAATATATAGCGTTTATTAATAACTAATCCAAACTTAATGCTAATAAAATATTGCTCGCAAATATTCAACTGTTTTTTTTTTTTTAATAATTAAAGCGAGCAGATAATTTAGTATTGAAAATATGTCGTATTTTAAAAACATAAACAAATACTGTATAGTTGCTCAGCGGCGTGCGACGCATATTAGCATAGGTATTATATAATTCCGAGCGTCTAGCATATCATAAAAATGCATATACGCTTGTCATAAAGTTCGCCTTGCACTCACATGTTAAGCAATGTATAATGTATAAATTAAGAGTTTATTGCTGCCGTAATGCAATCGAATTAATTAAATCAAATAAACCGCTTAAGCATATTCCGAACTCACATAAGTGTTTCTAAGCGCAATTAACTTTTTCGTATCATTCGTGTGCATATCAAATTAGTTATCTTTTATCAATGCAAATGTTTCCGGAGATGATAAGTAAATTTTTAATATACATATATTGTGACAAAAGAGTACCCGGAATTTGTAATTAAATTTCTCGGATGCTCTTAATTACTATTCAAAATATGAGCGCGATCTGTCAACCACTTTGCTAACAGTAGCTGCCTAAAGCGGTACACCTCAGTAGTGCGTTGCGATTTTTACAATGAAAATTTTTTAAAAATATCGAAATAAGAATTTGTCTAAACTTCAGTTTAATTTTAGTTGATTCAGTTTTATCAAAAACAAGCGGTAAGCCCACAAGTGGTACAAGGGCTTCAAAGACGGTCAAGAGATCGTTGAATACGTGATTCGTTCTGGACAAACTTCCACCTCTTCAACAGATGAAAATATTAAAAATGTGAAGAATATGGTTCTTGAAAATAGTCAAGCAAGTGTTAGAGAGATGCCAAAGAGAGCTCGACATCTCTCGCCTGTTTGCTCAACTCATCCAAATAAAGATGAATTTTTTTTTTCAAAAAGAGTACCGTAAACTTGATCGTGCGAGTTTCGATCCCAAATACATTGAGGTCATTGCAACTGTTTATGACTTTGACACGAGTTTGACAGATTTGAGGCTTATTCGTGCGAACATACGTCGAAATCAGCCGGAATTGTGGAAGAAGAATTCGTGGATTTTACACGATGGTAATACACTATCGCATCTAGCCACGATTGTGACCGAATTTAAATGCAAAACCCCAATGAAGACCGTCAATGATTTTTTCTTGTTGCCCAAACTGCCATCGTCGTTCCGTGAAACTTTTTTTCAGTCTGAAGCAACTAAAGGCCATTCTAAAAAGTGCTTATGCATAAGCGTATTACATCTGGTGGGGACTACTTTGAAGTTGACAAATGAATAATTAAGCGTTAAAATCACTTTCTGGGTACTTTTTTTATCACAATATGTTCTACTTGTGCAGAAGCAATTGAAAATGAAAAAAATATATATTTACAGACGATCCAAGGTTGGGACAAGTAGGGGGAGGGATGTGATTGATGTTTTTAAGTTTAATATTGTATATATAATATATAATATAATATATATATAAAAAAAAGTTATACGGCAATAGATAACAAAAAAGGGCTATAATTTTTTATTAAAGAAATTTTATGACAACTGAACTTCTTACGTTTTATTTATATATTCTATTTTTTTTCTCCTTGTATTGGCGTAATATCGAAAAAACTCTAAAGAATAGGGACGCAAATAAGCATCTATATGGCTACGTGGTGGTTAAGTAAGGATTATAGAGTGAGGGAATATTAGTCTCGGTGGTTTCACAAATGAGCATCTTGTAGGACTAGGTATGTCGTCAGACTCCACCCACCCAATTCTGTATACAGAAATTTTCCACTCTTGACCAAGCACCTAAGTGACAGTTTACTGACACACCAAGCGACTGACACCTCAGCATAGAAAGCTCACATCACCTTGCATCTTGCCAGCAAATAATTCGTTGTCAGGAGTTCCAGGGACTTCGAGAGCACTGTTCAGATTATTATATCAACCGCCGTTAACACGATGAACAGACTCTGATTTGGAAGGGTTCGTCCCTCGGATTTTTGAATTAGACAAAATTCTGAGGCAAAAAAAATCATGAGGCGGACACCTGTGTATTTCTAAGAGGCGGCGTCGATTCCCCACTGTCACAGGCACATCATCAAGCTTGCTGACTTTTATAAAGCTTTCTCCGCTCCTGCCGCTCATCGTCAGAGGTTGCTCATTCGTGCTACTACACGCTGTTCTGCAGACCCCGGTAGCATTGAACCCAGCTAATGTTACCGTGAACGTCTACCGGGCACTATGTGTGTCTCTTAAATTTTTTATGTGTTTGTCAGAAACGTTTCTATCAATACTTCTCCTTCTTCTTCTTAATTGGCGTAGACACCGCTTTCGCGATTATAGCCGAGTTAACAACAGCGCCAGTCGGTTCTTGTTTTCGGTACGTGGCGCCACGGCTATGTAAGCTGACGTTGAGCAACACTAAAAGCTCCGTCAGAATCGGGAAAGACCTTTCCGAGCCGTTCRATACCAAACGAGGTTTCAGACAAGCCGATTCCCTATCGTGCGACTTCTTCAACCTGCACCTTTTGATATCATCGGCCTCAACACCCGCGCAGTTAATTCTGCTTTCTCCAGACTGGACAAGGAAGCAAAACAAATGGGTTTGGCAGTGAACGAGGGCACGACGAAATATCTCCTATCATAACAAGTAAGGAAGAGCTAAGTTCGGGTGTCACCGAACATTTTATACTCTCGCATGATAAAGTGATAATCGAGATTTCAGGCGTGGTTGTGAACCGATTTCACCCATATTTGGTACGTGTCATCACGGTGTTAAGAAAATATTATATACCGAATTTCATTGAAATCGGTTGAGTACTTCCTGAGATATGGTTTTTGGTCCATAAGTGGGCGACGCCACGCCCATTTTCAATTTTTAAAAAAAACCTGGATGCAGCTTCCTTCTGACATTCCTTCCGTAAAATTTAGTGTTTCTGACGTTTTTTGTTAGTCGGTTAACGCACTTTTAGTGATTTTCAACATAACCTTTGTATGGGAGGTGGGCGTGGTTATTGTCCGACTTCTTCCATTTTTGAACTGTATATGGAAATGCCTAAAAGAAACGACTCTATACAGTTTGGTTGACATAGCTATAGTAGTTTTCGAGGTATGTACAAAAAAGTTAGTAGGGGCCGGGGCCACGCCCACTTTTCCAAAAAAATTACGTCCAAATATGCCCCTCCCTAGTGCGATCCTTTGTGGCAAATTTCATTTTAATATCTTTATTTACGGCTTAGTTATGACATTTTATAGGTTTCCGTTTTCCGCCATTTTGTGGGCGTGGCAGTGGGCCGATTTTGCCCATCTTCGAATTTGACCTTCTTATGGAGCCAAGAAATACGTGTACCAAGTTCCATTATGATATCTCAATTTTTACTCAAGTTACGGACAGACAGACATCCGGATTTCAACTCTACTCGTCACCCTGATCACTTTGGTATATATAACCCTATATCTTACTCTTTTAGTTTTAGGACTTACAAACAACCGTTATGTGAACAAAACTATAATACTCTCTTTAGCAACTTTGTTGCGAGAGTATAAAAAAAAAAATAGTCGTCGCACTCGCGACTTGGCACTCACGTCACTGTTGAGTCGTAACTTTGAAGTCGTAGATAATTTCTATCAATACTAGAAGTTATAAAAATATAAATATTAACTATCTTCTTTCTAGCGGCTATTCAGGTTTTGGTTGATTGATAACAGCTATTAAAGGGTGAAATTTAAGCTTTCACTGCTCAAAGTGACTACACACTCCAAAGTAGACTTTTTTTAGCTCGGGTATTCCAAAATAGCCACTTAATGGTATATTTAATTAAATAAATTTTAGATAAAATGTTAAAGAAAAATTTGTTATTATTATTTTATTTTTAAAATTATGTTTATTAAAAAAAAAATTTCATTCAATAAGTCTGCTCAGACATACAAATTATTTAAATCGAATTTATCAATAAGGCGTATGGAAACATATTTCTTTATTATTATTAGTAAATAATTATTTATAGAAATATAAAACTTTTTCTTCTTTCACTTGTGCGCGCAAACGAAAAACCTTTACCAACTCTGTTTTGCCGACGGCAAACACGAACGCTGCACCGTTGTTTGTGGCTATGCTAACGGCTGGCTACCAACATGGCGTACACACGACATTTTTTGGTTCGTGCTGACTTGAGACATCGATGACGTCTTCTCCATTTTTGTATCTTTTATTTATGCATGTTTGCATGCAGATATGTAACTATGCATGTACGTAGTATGTATGTGTGTATGTAAATTAGTATATATATATACATATACATATATGTATGTATACACAATGGTGATGTGCGGTAATGAGATAGGGCAGCGAGGGATGCTTTTTCTATATTGTATACTGAAGCTGATGATTTTATAGTGCATACATATATGAAATATTTACATATATCACATATGCATGCTCATAACTATTCATAGTAATATATACTTACTGCGTCCGCCCAATGAAAGTTATTTTGGAAATTGGGCAATAAATAGTAAGACTTTTTAATTTATGTTTTGCGAAACGCATTCGTCGAAATATGTTTTCTTTGCAAGCTTGGTATGACTGTCAGTGACATCTCTGCCAAATTTCACGCCAAAATAATCATTAGTGTTTAGTATACGCTTGTCTTTCTGAAGTACATAAAGTGCATTCGGCGATTTTTACGATGAGTGAAAGTATTCAGCAAAGAAGCTCCATTAAATTTTATGTCTGTAATTTCTACTGCTGAGACGTTCAGATTAAAAAAGTTGGAAAAGACTTCCAGTCATAATTGTTTGTTACGAGTATGTGTTTTGATTGGTAAAAAGTATTCAAAGAGGGTTGGGTCGAGAACGCGTTGCCAACGAACCGTGTCCAGCATGAAATAAAGTAAAGGAATTGGTGCTTGAGAATCTAAACGTCGATCAGAGATATTACTGGCAAACCATTTTGAAAGATCATTTGAGAATAAGAAAAGTGAAAGCAGTATTGGTTACAAAATCACTCAATTTCGAAAAACAGTGTGGCGTTGACGTCTGTGAAAAAAGGTTTGCTGACGACCAGGATGTCATTAAGTCTATTATTACTGGCGATGAGTCTTGTGTCTATGCTTACAACACGGAAGCAGACGATCAATCGTGGCAAAGGTGAGCCGAAGCCGAAAAATTTCGTCAAATCAGGTCAAAAATCAAGGTTCTTTTGACCGTTTTCTTCGATTATCGAGGTGTGGTGCATTCCGCATTACTTCCGACCGGTCAAACTGTCAACAAGGAACACTATTCGAGTATTATGCGTTGTTGGCTCGAAGCTATTCTTAAAAAAAGCCGGATTTGCAACCATCGTATTCGCTTTACTTAGCTCTGTGTAACTTCTGGCTTTTCAGCAAACTCAAACAAGGGCTCCGGGGAAACCGTTTTGAGTCAATTGAAGACATTAAACGTTAATCGCTACGCACATTGAAGGCTATTCCGGAAAGTTACTTTAACAACTGTTTCGAATTTGAAAAAATGAGGGGGACGATAACGATTTTGAAAAATAAATTAAGAATTTTAAAATTATGAACAAAGTCTTACTTTTTTTTGCTCATTATAGTATTTTAGATTCCTTTGCGTTGTAGCCGAAAAACATACCAATAAGCCAGGCTATGAAGTCCCATTGATATTATAATTTGCACTGCCAATTACATATGATATCAATTAAATCTTTCTTTTACACATATTTCAGAAAATGTCACTTGGAAGATTAGTAAAGTTGCAAACACTGACAACAAAGCCTTTGCGTAGAGCTTATTCAGCAGCTCCAGAATTAACGCAGGTAATTCCAGATTTGTTAACAAATAACTGTATAAAAAATATGTTTACATCAGAAATATGAGAACATGTTTATGCTAAGATTTTCAAAACATTATAAAATTTGTAGAATGGAATAGTAGTGTTGAGCATTTGGGTTAGCCAGCTGCAGATCGAAAAACTTTGAATGCATTTTTTTCGAAGCGCTATTTCTCAATTCATATTTTAATTGCAGTTTTACAATAACATTATCGTACAAACTTCATACGATTTTTTGTTATTATTGCAAAATTTTTTATTAATTTTTTTAGGTGGAAAAAATTTGCAAAAACTTGTTTCGTATCAAAACGTTAATGGGAATATTTTTTATAGCTCCAAGCCATATTTAATAAGCCTAATAAGCTCCTCAAATAAATTTTAAAAGTCTAGACTGGCCTAACTCTTTAAGCATAAATGAAATAAAAAACAATTTCAGGATATACATTGTGACAAAAAAACACCAGGAAATTGTAATTAAATTCCCCTAAGTTGGTAGGACTGTCCTTAAACACTATAATAAATATAAGAGCGATCTGTCAACCAGTTCGTTTATTGCAGGTGCTTAAGACGATACACCTCAGCGATTTTTACAATGGATAAAAATATCGAACAAAGAATTTATCTCAAATTTTGTATTTCTAACCAAATTTCGTGTGAGGAATCGTTGTAAATGTTGGAAAAGTCTTGCCTTGATTCAGGTCATCAAAGACACAAGCCTACGAGTGGTACAAAGCTTTTATAGACGGTCGAAAAATTGTTGAAGACATGCTTTAACTCTTCAACTTATGAAAATATTGAAAAAGTTAAAGGATATGGTGCTTGGAAGTCGACAGGGAAGTGTTAGAGAGAGGACAAAAGAGCTCGACCTTTCTCTCAAGTCTGTTCGAATGATTTTGATGGATATTTTGGTATGTTGAGCAAGAGTACCAAGAGATTTTTTCAAAAGGAGTGCGACTGTGACCGAATATATGTAAGTCAAAAACGCAATTAATACCATCGATCAAACACCGTATACACCAGATTTCACTCCGTGTGATTTTTTTTTTGTTCCCCAAACTGAAATTGCCACCCCGTAGAACTCGTTTCAGTCAAACGAATAAATAAAACAAAATTCGCTGTAGTATGGAGGAGAAAAAAATACCTAAAAAAGAGGCTCAAAGTTTTTGAAATACCGCTGAAAATTCGTGCAGAATGTCCTAAACGTGAAAAACAATGCCAACAAAAGAGAACATTGGTATGATAATATCTCCCCGAACAGTCCGACGAAGGCGATAACGAGCTAATTCAGGCAGAATAGCGAGGAAAATATCCTTATTGCGATAAAAAATAAGGATAAGATTAGAAAAATAATCATGAAAAACGGTCCGGCCTAGGTGGCCTAGCGCAATATTTTGTGGAGCCTTGAAACAAAAATAAATTTGTTCGCCCTCTGTAAGGCAAATATTGCATTCACGGACCGTTGAACATGGTGGCGGCAACATTATGGTCGGGTGCTGCTTTTCATGGCATGGTGTAGGGCCAAGTCCTTTTCGGAGGGAAGGTATTCTCAGTCCGAAGTAGCATGCGTGGGCAAGAGTTATTCTGCGTTGGATTTCGAGACTGACGTTGTTGTTGGTGTTCATGCTGGTTCCAAGATAGACCAAATAATCTACGACTTCGAAGTTAAAACTGTCAACAGCGACGTGGGAGTCAAGTCGCGAGTGCGACAACTGTTTGTTTGATGACAGGAGCTCTGCAAGTCGAAACTCTAGCAGTAGCTTGAAGAAATCGCACAACAGGGGGTCGCAGCTCCTTCTTGTGTTTGTCGATCCAGTTTTCACTTTCTCTTTTGATTTCTTGTAATTAACTCCAAGAAATTTAAGTTCCTATTTCAACATATTATTTTGACCATACTCAAGAATATATACGTACTTTCCATTTCGCTTCATTTACTAAAATATTAATTTAATTTAAAGAAACAAATTACAACATATATGTATCTGTATGACCTACATATTTGGCAGAATTAAATATTAATGTTAAAGTATTTTGTTAGATTCGGCACAATGTAAAACGAAGCGATTACGCCAACTTGGAAGACAAGGATATTGCTTTCTTTGAGTCCATTGTTGGCAAGCGTTACGCGCTACAAGAAGATTTACAAGCTTACAATGTGGACTTTTGGCGCTCTGTGCGAGGTACGTTGTGACCTATTTTATATCTAAATTTAAGTATACAATAACAATAATTATTTATTCGAGCTTTTTAGAATAATTTTTATAGAGCATCTATATATTAGAAACTCGATAATATTTTTTTTCGAAAAATCTGAAAATTTAACTAGATTAGGTGGAAATGGTGTTAACTAAAGGTAGAAGAGATGTTTAAATGATTAACGTCTTTTGATATAATATTAAAACCGGAGAAAACGACCTCTATGGAAGGTTCAAATATGGTTTTATTATGACTAAAAAAGCAACCGTTAGTCAAAGTTTTAAAAGTTCTTTTCGAAATCGTCAATGCATTCCAGATTATTTAAGCTAGTTCGGTTAGATCGGAGGTTTGATCCATAATTGATGGATTCTATTTACAAAGATATTTGTCTTTTGTGTTATCTATAAACTCCTAAAAGTGGATCACCATATCCGTATACAATATCAATTCCAGTAAATTTCCTAACTTTGCTAAAGTTGTGTCTACCAAGACACTTCAATCTCAGACTGGCAAAAGCTAGGTTTTGGCCGGACAAAACAAGTCTAATATGGAAGGAGCCTGAAGCTAGTGCTAATGAGGTCATGCACTCCTTGATAACTTTTCAGAGTACAGTCAGCGAGCTCAAAGCTAATATTATACGTGTACATATAAATTGAAGACGCTTGAGGAGAAGCCGAAGACGAAGAATAGGTTTGTTATCCTTTTTAGCTAAAACAAGTTATTAAGTACTTGCTTGAAATTTGTGTTGTGATTTAGGTGTTTTGTGGATTACATAGTAATAATTTATTATACTAAATATGATTGAAGAGATAATAAATATACTTAATCAACTAATAGAAGATATTTGTGGAATTAAAAATAGTTAAATAATTTAATAATTTTAGTTTGACATACTACCGATCGGCTATCGGAGTGTATGCACACCTCTCTGAGGGAAACTGCACTTCGGAGCAGTACATCTACCTGTACCTTGATGGCAGGCACCTGCGCTTGAAAGACGCTACAGTGATCTGGTAATATGAAATTAATTTTATGGAGAGCTCCCGACAGTTCCCATCTCCTACTATCCCTCTTAACTTCGATTCATCCGTTAAAAGCTCGCTGCACCCTTTTTCCAACGGCTTTGCTATGCCCATAATTCCATGGCAGGCGTATGAGCCGAGATGACACCGTTAGGAGATGATCCTGCAATGCAGTAATCTCGATTGTTAGAAATGCAAACGAAGCAGTGGAGAATTTCAACGAGTTCCCGGAGCCCCATACCCTTATAGCAGCCTTCGCTGTCAAGCACCTACCAGCTATGTATGTTTACAGGTGCAACGTCTAGAATGGCATTGAGTGTTATTGTTTGGGCTGTCCTTAGTGCATCACTGATGCCTATGAGCACCGCTCTGTGAAATCGCTCCAGCTACATATCTAGTGTAGTTTTACCGAGTGCCCTCCACCAGACCTCTTCAACAGTATAAGGCGACTAATAAAGCCCCACTCTCTAATCGATATTTGGCTTCCGTGAGAGTTTCTTAGCAAGGATAAGCCCCAAGGTGTCCTTAGACCCTGTCCACCACTTGAGAAATGGAGTGTCTTCTAGTAAATAAAACTAGTTCAGTTTTATTTGGACTTATTTTACATTTCGTTACTCGATTTATATACCCTTGGATTAGATCGTAAACTTTATTTAGGAATTTTGCTTTTACCAAGAGAACTACAATGTCTGCTTAGGCAACCACCTCACAGCCTCGTTCCTCAAGTTCTTTCAAAAGGTCGTTCACCACTAGGGCACAAAACAAAAAAGGAAAGAATGAAAGCTTAGAGTGTGCCCTTATTTATTTTCCGAAGTGTCCACGAACTTCTCCACTTCGCCACAACACAATCGCTTGACAGTTCTTGATAACACTATTATACTGCTGAGAATACTTTTGAATGCTAGGTCAAATTTGAACTAATTTTTATTTACTTATAAAATGTCTGTACTTTATTGAGCGCTTGTAGCATTTATCGGATCACGAGTGTATATTTTGAAACTACAGGTGATAGCAAACTTGTGCTGAAGCCCGGCACCACAAAGGAGGTTTCTGCCATTTTAAAGTACTGCAACGAACGTAAGCTGGCTGTTTGCCCGCAAGGTGGCAACACCGGTGTGGTGGGCGGTGCGGTGCCCGTATTCGACGAAATCGTGCTATCGCTGACGCGATTGGACAAAATTCTGCACATTGATGAAATTACTGGCATAGCGGCATGTGAAACGGGTTGCATTTTGGAGAATTTGGATAACAAAGCGCATGAACTAGACTTAGTGGTGCCCTTAGACTTGGGTGCCAAATCTAGTTGTCATGTTGGTGGCAATGTCTCCACCAATGCTGGTGGCTTGCGTGTAGTACGCTACGGCAATCTGCATGGCAGCGTGTTGGGTTTGGAAGTGGTGAGTAAAAAGTTGTTAATTTTTTATAATTACATATGTACATACATATGTAAGTAAGTATATGCATACTTGTGTGTATATGTTTAGGTACTGGCAAATGGTGAAATTTTGGATTTGATGTCTGACTTCAAAAAGGACAACACAGGCTATCATTTGAAGCATCTTTTCATTGGCGCAGAGGGCACCTTGGGTGTGGTGACTAAAGTGTCCATTTTGTGTGCGCCAGCGCCACAGGCACAACATCTGGCCTTTTTGGGTAATTACGAAAACTGTTTCATTATTCATAGATTATAAGTGTGTACGCGATTTTTAGGCTTACCCAACTTTGAAGCTGTGCTGAAAACATTCAAAAGCGCCAAACGAAATTTAGGTGAAATTTTATCGGCTTGCGAAATGATTGATGCGCCAACGTTGGACGCCAGTTTGCAGCATTTCCCACTTAAGTAAGCGCAATCCGCTTATATATTTATATATTTAACCGTTTTTAAGTAATAATTGAATATATATTTTGGTATACTTTTTACACTTTCAGCTCACCAATTAGCGGTTTTCCATTTTATATGCTACTCGAGACATCTGGCAGCAATGGCACACATGATTTGGAGAAAATTAATAAGTTCGTTGAAATTGGCATGGAAAGGGGAGAAATTATTGATGGCACCATAGCGGCTGAATCGCGTAAGATGCAGGAAATTTGGAAGCTGCGTGAGCTGGCACCGATGGCTTTAACCAAAGACGGCTATTGCTTTTACTATGATCTTTCGTTACCCTTACGCGATTTCTATAGTATAGTGGAGGTAATGCAAAAACGTATAGGATCGCTGGCAACTAGAGTCACAGGTTTTGGTCACTTGGGTTAGTACAAAAATTTGATTACTTTATATACTAAACCGTGTGCAATAAGTTTGCCACGAAGTTTATAATGGTTGATCCGGGAGAGGGGACGGATAACGGGAAGGACTTACACCTGTAAGAACAGCAAGAACTGAAGTCGGTCGGCGCCACTTCCCTCACATCACCTCAATCAATAGATTTATTGAGAGAACACTTCGGCGAGCAGATGATTTCACGTTTTGGACAGATCGATTGTCCACCAAGATCGTGTGATATCACAGCTTTATACTTTATCCTGTGGGGATATGTAAAGTATATGTGGACAATCTCGTTTCGATTCAGGCCTTGCAGCAACACGTCACTATTGTCAATCGCCAGTTACCAGTAGAAATGCTCGAACGAGCCATCAAAAAGACGAGGACTCAACGGATGGAATATCTGAGACGTAGCCGCAGACCAGCATTTGAAAAAGATTATCGTCAATGCGTAAAATATTATTCGATTGATAAAAGGTTTCCGTTTAAAAAAGTAGGGAACCACGAAATGTAGCTTCGGTTAAGTTAGATAAAATTTAATTTTATATGAAATTTTTTATGCTTTAACAATATTTTTTATAATTTTTTATTAATTTCTTGCTTTTCAGGTGATTCGAATTTACATTTGAATGTTTCATGCCCGGCATATACCGACGAACTACACCACAAAATTGAGCCTTTTCTTTACGAGTATACCCACAAACTGAAAGGCAGCGTCAGTGCAGAACACGGCATCGGTTTTATTAAAAAGAATTATTTAAAATATAGCAAGTCATCGGAAGCGATTGCAATGATGCGTGATGTGAAGAAATTGTTGGATCCCAAGGGTATATTAAACCCATATAAGGTGTTAAATTAACGCTCATACTATTATATAACTATACTAAGTATGTGTGTTGCATAAAAAAAGAAATAAATATAACCACAAAATATGCATTTATAATAAACTGCCTTTCATTATTTTTGCTTATTAAATATACACACATACATATACATATGTACAATATTTATTTACACGAAAAAGCAACTCAATGCTATTCGCTTAAATAGTTTTCCTCGGCTACAGCAAATGAAAACCTGACTCTTTCGCCGGTCACATGAGCTACCAATGACTACAACTGCAAACAGCAAAACAATGTAATCGAGCACCAAACATGCCGTCGCTTTTTTATGTCACTTAGGAATGTTATACACATCGGCACGTATATTATGCCGTTGGGTGTGGCTGTCTTAACTGGTGAAGAGAAAGTATTTTAAAAACAACTCTCTTCAAAATAATTAAATAGCACCACGCTTTCGATATGTAGAATCTCACAGAATTTGAAATATTCAACTCACTCTGGTGAGTATGTGCTATGCAATGACTATGGTGATAATATTTATTGTTTATTCTGCGAAAAATGGTGTAAAGCGAATGAGCAATAATACCCACACGCGCCGCTACTCAAAATCTTTTACGTGTTTGTTTGAAGAGCAATGATTTATGACGATTATAAACGAAACAACAAAATTAATAGCAAAATAGCTGAATTGAATAGTAGGAGGGTGTTGCCACTAGATGAAAAAATAAGAAAAATAATGAAAATTGAGGAAAAAAAAACCAAAGATGTGGGTTGAAAATGTTGAATGAAGTATAGTACTGAATCGATAAGTAATTTTATATTAAATAAACAAACAATTGTATTAAAATATGTGAAAATATGCTTGTTTTTTTTTTAGTCCGAGTCAAACTTGATCAGTTGGTTCACACATACATATGCATGTGTGCAAGATTGATGAATCCTAACTTTTTTTTTTATAGATTTTGAAAAAAAATTTGTACGGAGGAATGCGTTTTAAGCAGATTGATACATACATATAATGAAATGAGCAAAAATTAATTTCTATCTTCCGATTTTTTTGTTTAACAAATTGCAATCTATTTTATATTACTTTTCTCTAACTATTTATTATATATTTACAAGTCTCAAGATAAAATTATACAGTACCTTTTTAGCAACGCAAATAACTAAATCATACGTGATGGCAACTCTCACTTAGCCAGCTTCTGCTATCTCTTATTTATTTGTCCACTAAGAATCGACTGACGAACAAACGTCTAAATATTCTTATTTGATAAGCTGCTAAATACAGTACAGTAAAGGCTATATTACTTGGGTTTGTCACATAAATTAATATTTTAGCACAATTTGAAATTAAATTATGGAAAAACAGCACAAAGAAACAACCAGCAAGCTCGGTTATTGTAATAGCTATAGGTGGTATTTTGTAACATTTTTTTTTATATGTTGCCAACTACAATAATAAAACTAATTGAAATTTGTACAACTTTACTGGCTTCACTGTAGTTATGTATACATATGTATGTATTATGTGTATTTATTGTTCGACTTCACCTGATCGTGTATATCTATTGAGCTTAATTAATATAATTTAATGCTAACACTTCCAGAATAATCGATTATTCATTTTACGTCTTTCAACTGCTTCATTTGAATATTATTTATTTATGCTAGTTGAAATATTATTTTAGGTTTAAAAAAAGTTTTTAAAAAGTATTAAAAGTTTACTGTAACCTTAAATTTTTTAATACCACTATATATATATTTTTTAAACTATTTGAGCTCTTTAATAACAGTTTTCAAAAAATATTTATTATAAAAATAAATAACGTAAATAATTCCATATTACAAATTCTCTAATATTATTTCTTTTCTTTAATAACGCTTTTCAAAAACTATTTCTGAACAAATTAATAACAATCGATATAAAGAAAAACAATCGATTTTTATACTTTATCACCAATAATTTCACACCGACAATTCTAATGTGTTTGTCGTTGTTTTTATCACGCGTTTTCAAACTTCTTGGGCGCATTCACTATTATCATTTGTTCTATTTTCATCATATGCGCAAAATTTTCTCTAGTCGAACGCAACCATTGAACGGTGTGACTTGCTTTTGTTTTGTATTCTTATTTTTAAATAAGTTGTGTGTGATATTTCTTATACAAAAGGTGAAAGTAAGTAAAGAATATGCGGCTTCAAATTCATGCAAGCTAAATAAGAATAATAATTAATTAGTTAGAAATATGTGAAAATTGTGTAGTGTATAACAAGTTTCTGACGTATGCTCTTGTTTGTTTACATATCGCGCACACACACACGAACGCTGTAAGAGTTAAGTGAAGAAGAATTGTAAACAAACGCAGGGTTGTTACACCTGCAAAATGTTGCATTCCATAATAAACGTTAAGGGTTTATATTTTTGTGTGAAGTGTTAAATCTCTTGCACAACGGTTTATTAAATATACTATATATAGCAATACGATAAGCAAAATCATAAACTTTTGGCTATAAGTACGCTTATCAATGCAGACAAAAAAAAAACAATTGGTTTTATAAAGCCACACTCGAATTATTGAGTGCATCATTCTAGCAATGTTATTTATTGCGTAAGTTATAGTGTCGCACCGCTTTTGATAACAACACGTTAGTTATGCTAATATGTGAACTTAGTTTTAGACCTTATGCAATTATGCACAATCATCTCAACATCACAAGCGATAAAGATTTGGTACATACTATATACAAGTTCGACTTGATAATGAAACATTAGGTTTATGACAAATATTCAAATACACGTACATGTGTTTGTTCATAAGTAAATCACATTACATGTTGTTATGTGCATGAAGATGATAATTCACAAAATTGTTCATTAATCTTGATTAATGTGTAGTGCATGTTGAAGTTATATTTATAAAAAATATTAAATCCAAAAACTTAAAAATTCCCAAGTTTTTGTCGCACATTTCGAACCCATAATTTGTTTATGGACAAATTTCAATTCACAAAAGCCGTCGGCAAAACACTTTTCTGCAAAAACTTTACTAATGCTCGTGTTGCCATGTAAATATTTTGCAAAAAATAACAACATTAAATCCATAAGATAAGTTAACACAAAAACAACCACAACTAATTACTGCCGAAAATTCATATCATAATGTTTGTGCATTAATAATCGCCTCCGTACATACACATTTGCTCCACATATAAAAATAATACACATAAATCATTCTCGTAAACTTATACAAGAGTTCATTGTACCAATGCATTTATAATTCTGCTAGTAATTAGATGATGTGCCCACCACCACCACCAGTGGTTGACTTCAACTGTTGCTTGTTTACCTGCCTCAAAAATTTGACTGCCTGCCACTCGGCCAGACACCAGACATAAATTAAGTCACAAAGTTTACTTACCATAAACCAAAGTATATCTAACAGTCCCCTTCAGGCATTTATCTCTTTGTTTTTGTATAAAGATTACACAAAAATTTAACAAATTTTTCTCTGTATACAGCCGTTGCTTAAAATTTGCAACAAAATCGTGGATTTCAAGTAGAAAAACGTTTGAAATATGAGAAATCTAGCACAGTGTTTAATTAAAAATGCACGCACACAAACAAACACATTGCCGAGAACGCGTCTCTTTCGTCTTCGAATGCATTTACAGCAAAAATTAATCACTTTCCTTTTAATCTAAATGCACCACACTATAAACAATATATAAACAAATACATTAACATAACATTAGTAACGTCACTTCTTTGCAATAAACGTTTTTACTACACTAACACTTTCTATTAGAAAAAGAAAAAAAAGTTTTAATGAAATTACAATTAGACGAAGAGCGTACAAAGACACAACGAAATGTCAACAAACGACGTCCAATGCAATAGTGCACAAAGTTGGCTGCGATTTGTGTGGATTTCATTTCTGACATTTGTTTTCTGCTGGCTTTCGTTTGAAAAGGCAAACCTTCGCTATAAAGAGAGAGTGTATACTTCTTACTCCCATAACCACACTCTTTATTTGCAGCCATTTATTATAGGTGAATATAGGTGAACTTTGCTCATCATTCCATCTCTTTCTTAAATTTATGATTGACTGACCATAATGTTAAAGGCCGCCTTTTTGGGTTGTTTAACAAATAGAAAATGGCCATTCATACACATGCGAAATTTTCATATATTCATTTTAATTTTTTTCGGTTTCAGAAAATGTCGGCAACTGGACTGCTTAAGCTACGACCGAATGTTGTGAAATCGTTTTTTAGAACATACAAAGCTTCGGGCATTCCGGAATTGACACAGGTTGGTAAATATTCATTTATGTACATATGAAAATATTTGTTAACTGACTTAAAACATACATACATATGTATTTATATTAAAAACAATTAGATATGAAAATCATAGTAATTCTAGATAACAAGGTGCAGGTAATGCTTTAACAAATTATTGAATAAATCCCGAATATCTTAATCAAAAATAGTTTTTTTTTAATTTTTAATCCCAAATAGCGCATTAAAAAATTTAAATAAAAAAAGTTTCTTGGCAATTCTA